GATGCTCTCTGTTTGTTTGTTCTGAGTCTCTTTTATCTCCTTGTATAGCTTCTATTGCTGTGTCTTCAGGTTCACTAAACTTTTCTTCTGGAATGTTTAATTTTCCATTAATCCCATCCAGTGTATTTTTCATTTCAGGTATTATAATTTTCATCTCTATAAATTCAGTTTAGATCCTTTTTATATCTTCTACACCTCTTTTTAACATGGTCAATTTTTCCTCTAGTTTTTGGACATAAAGAATACAGTTATTATAACTGTTTTAATGTCCTTGTCTGATAATTCTAACATCTGTGCCTTTCTGAGTCAATTTTTATTTGTTGATTTTTCTTCTCACTATGAATTCTATTCTCCTATTCCCATGCATGGCAATTTTTTGACTGGATGCATTGTGAATTTTACTTTGTTAAATGCTGGATATTTTTGTATTCTTATAAATAATCTTGAATTCTTTTCTGGGAGCAGTTAAGTTTCTTGGAATCGGCCTGATATTTTTTAAGGTCTCCCTTTTAAAATTTGTTAGGCAGACCAGCTCAGCATTTAGTCTAGGGCTAATTATTCCCTACAATTCATGCAAGACCCTTTTGAGAGCGTTACCCAGTCCCCTGTGAATTGTTGGCTTTCCAGTCTGGCTGGTGAGAACAGACATTATTATTGACCTCATGTAAGTATTTGGTACTCTTATCTCTAATCCTTTCAGATCCATCTCCCTGGCTCTAGGTAGTTTCCCCACATATATGCATGGGTCACATATACTTCAGTGGGGATTCTTTGCAGATATCCAACATTCTTTCTCTGGGCAGCTCTCTCCTGAGAACACTCAACTGTGAATTCTAGCTACATAGATCTCTCTGGACTCTTAGCAAGGTCTCCTCAACTCAGAATCTGCCAAACTCCACCTGGACTCCCACTCCACCATAGCCTTAAATCTATTTCAAGGTACTAAGTTAGAGTAATGATAGGGGTTACCTTGTTTGTCTCTTATCTCTAGGAAATCACTGTCCTTCTCTGCCTGATGTCCAGAGTCTTGAAACCATTGTTTTCTCTCTTTTCTCCAGTGTTTTAGTTGTTTCAGAAAGGAGGGTGAATCTGGTTCCTAGTAGTCCACCTCAGTCAAATACAGACATGTTGGACTTTGTGTTTAGCTCTCAGTTCTTGAAGGTGGAGGGGTTGTATCAGTTCTCAATTCCTGGCTATATGAACTTGACAAATTATCTGACTTCTCCGAGTCTTATTTTTTCCTATGTGCAAATGGGAATAATAATGTTAGAGTGATTAAGATTACGTTGATGAAAAGCATTCAGCACAAGGCTTGACATATAGTAAACATGTTAATAATGGAGACTATTTTTATTATCTAGATTAAGGGTTTAAATCAGATGATCTTTGCAGGCTATTCTGATCTAAAATTTTATGACTTTATTAATTAAATTTTGGAAATTATTAATACATAGCACAATTTAAAGAATTAAAGTGTACCCTCAATATTCATTTTAGCCATATATTTATTATACGTAAGGGAAAATTGATACTTTTTAAAACAACAACTTTATTCCTGTAAAATTTTATTTTATAAGTTGTTTTTTATAAATTTGATTAACAGTACACTGAAATACATTAGGAATTACTAGGTCATTTGTCTCTTCTATTTTAAAGAATTTGAGATTTTCTTTGCCTCTCCCTTTAATGCTGAACTTGATTATTTCTTGAAGTGAACTTTTTCTCCCATTCACTTATTGAGGAAGTAAGGTTTTGTTTGTTTGTTTGGTTTTGGTTTTGTTTGTTTTAATTATTGGTTTCTACAAGCTCTATGTATTGTTTAAAATGAGGTCAATAGTATAATTGAAAATGTCCCATAATGTGATGTTTTAGTAATAATCCAAGAAAATATTTGATTGGAATTTGTTTAGGGCACTACAAAGTGATAGGCAGTAAGTGACTATCACTTATTGTAAGCAGTTTGGCTGTAGGAAGTTTTTTAATTACAACATTTTAACTGAGAAGTACCAACACTGCATTTGGAACCAATTTAAAATGTTCAGCCTGCACATTAATTTGCTTTCTTGACATCAAAGCAATACTTGAAATAAACAAAAATCTATGACAATTAGTAAATACTCAGTTATTTTAAAATGTGCCATCCTTGTTGCGTAGCAACTATTGATTCTATTATGTGCTTTTTACATACTCTAAAATAATTAAGCACAGGAATAAATTGCTATCTACTTGTTTTTGAATGTTAAAAGCATTTAAGTTATGAAGTTTATTCTAATATGTGTATTATATATTTGTAAAGGGAACATTTCATTCCTACGCAAAGGCACAGTGACCCAAGAAAGAGATGACAATGTCATATTAGTGATTCTTCTTTCTCATGAGAGGACTTTCAGGGAACTTTTTATTCATAGTCTCGATAACTAACACAGCCAAGGGTAATTATCATTCATCAGCTTTACTGGCCTGGATCCTGATTTACTGCTAAACTAAATGATAAAATTTATTAACAAAAAGTCGTGTCCTCTCAAAAAACGAAATATCCATTTATATTATAGAAAATTATATGAGCCAAATACATCTATGATGTAATTAATTTATTAGAAAGATATCCATGATCTTAATAAGAATAAGAACCTTATATAGATTTATTTTCATCAACAAATGAACTCAGCATAAAGCAAGAGCATGCACTTCTGTGGTCAGATGCTAACACTAACTCAGTCTACAAGCTGTGTTAGCACTTCAGGCGCAGGGCCGCTGAGCAGCAGTACTAGACTGGATCATAAGTGCTGAGACCTCTTCTCCACTGGATGAACATCTGAAGGATGTTGGTGATGTGTGAGCATGGAGACGAGGAACTTCTACATAAGCAAAGGCAGGAAAGTTCACTCTCTCAGTCAAAGAGGAACTAAGGAGTTTGAGGGAAAGATCTGTGAATCTCTACAAACATTACTTCCATCAGTGAAATTTCTTTCTTTCTTTTTTTTTTAATGTCTATCTATTTATTTACTTGGCTGTGTGGAGTGTCAGTTGTGGCATGCAAACTCTTAGTTGCAGCATGTGGGATCTAGTTCCCTAACCAGGGATCGAACCCGGGCCCCTCATTGGGAGTGTGAAATCCTAGTCATTGGACTACCGGGGAAGTCTCTACCAGTGAAATTTCTGACTCACAAGATGGGACCAAAAAGAAAAGGATGAAATGTTTATAATATCTCTTTATACATATAGTCAGGGCATTCCAGGTAGCTCAATGGTAAAGAATCCGCCTGCCAATGCAGGAGACACAGGTTCGATTCCTGGGTTGGGAAGATCCCCTGGAGGAGGAAATGACAACCCACTCCAGTATTATTGCCTGGAGAATCCCATGGACAGAGGAGTCTGGCGGGTTACAGTCCATGGGGTTGCAAAGAGTCAGACATGACTCAGTGACTGAGCGTGCACGCATACATATAGTGAAACTACTCTTCAAAGAGTTGTAATTTCTAGTCCCTTAAAGAGTACGAATGAAAGACTGTCTAATGACCTTCATCACACAACAAAACAGAAGCCATAAAAAAAATCTCTCATTGCTTTAACTTGAATTTTTTTGATTTTTATTAACAGGTAGGCAGATCATCTTTTCACAATTATGAACATGGATTGGTAAGGATATGGGAAGTGAATAAGAACAGATTAGCCAAATGAGGCTAATACTGAGGCTAGTACACTGAGGCTAAAAAATATATTTAAAGAATGAAAGGGGTATGGTTTTTAGAGAATGAGGAGAAGTAAAGCCTATGCCACAAAATAAAGTAAGAATGAGATATATAGTCCATATTCTCAAATTTTCATTGTTGCCCATATGGAACTGCTGTCATAGTGATCATTTTTGTTGTAGCCCAAATGTGCTACAACACATTCCCAAACAGCAAGGGAAGGGAGATTGATTTATAGAGGGCCAGACTGGATGTGACCAACTGTGTGAAGGTTGGAAACGAAAGTGACAAATTTAGAATTGACCTGAGCCAGCAACAACACCTAGAGGATTTCATTTGTGGATGGCAGAGTGGGGGATTCCAGGTGGAGATGTTAGTTTGAAAGTGGCCACTGCTTGTTGCTTAGGGTTACAAGTTACAAGGTCTAGTCACCAAGGAGAAGAATCTAATGATAACCAGTCTGTTGGGACTTCAGTCAAGTTATCTGAATTTCAGTAGCCAGCTCTAGTTCTGATGTATGTGTGAGACATTATCAGAAAACCGAGACGGAAGGCTACAGCTAGAATTAGGTACTGGTAGGGGAAGAGACACAGGTGGTTGCAGAGGTTTCAGCACAGTGTGCATGATAAAGCCAAGGGATCAGTCAAAAAATATCAGTAGTTTATAACAGGGAGATGATGTTTAGCCTTAATGACTAGAGCTGTATAAGGCCTGAGAAAGCAGAGGCTAATAATTTTTAAAGTATAATTTGTATTCTTTAAAGTTATGAAAGAAATATATACTCACTGCTGAAAATTTGAAAATATAGAAAACTCTGAAGACAAAAATCAAAGAAAAAGCAAACATTTTCTTTGTAAATAGCGAGCTTAATACTTATTTTACTGCCAAAAGTTCATAACTGAATAATTTTAAGTCACTTTTCATTCTCTTTTATTATCTTCTTAAAGGCAGAGAAACTGTAAGGATGAATTAATATTCCCCTGTTTTTAAGGATATGGTCAAATACAGATTCTGTCATTTTATGGGGAAAAAACAGTAAATAGTTAAAAGTAAAAATTATGCTTTTACGTGAGAACGAAAAGCTATCTTAAACTTACAAGGTTTCAAATTCCAATTTTACCTTTTAATTTCCTACTTGTCTAATATTTTGGAAAAAAACATATATCATAAGCATGTTTGGTCTAGGAAGTTCCAGTAATCAAAGGTGTGCATAGAAGCAAATAAACCTATTTGAAACAGTCTGGCAAATGGACAGAATTTTTAAAAAGCAAATAAGACACAAAGTGCTGAAAGTCACATTTTCGTTACCTTCTCCCTCCAGTTATCATCATTCAGCAGCTTCTGTCTAAGGGTTTCCTGCAGCTGCTCGATACTTTTCTGATGTGAAATCAGCATCAACTCCCTGAAAACCATAAACACGACAAATGAGTCGAGACACACCCATAACACTCTTCCTGAATTACAATTCCTGGCTCTGGAGATTATTTCACAACTCAACCTGTTTATTCTTCCCCTTAGAAAAAAACATATGATATTTCATACCATTTTAACTGTTAACAGCAATTTTAAAACACTGGCAACAAGGTCAGGGTTAATTTTTGCTTAATAAGTATTATTATTATTTTTATATGAAACAGCAACTACATATGTAGAGTCACAAATATAATAAAATACTATACATTGTGGTTCCAAAGTTTCTGACTAAATTTTGACACTAGACAATAGATAATATTTTGTTTCTTTAAAAAAGGAAAATATGCTGGGATATGCCACAAAATCAGCACATTTGTGGTTTCGGGTAGATTTATTTTCTTTTCATTTATATCAAGTGCTAACAGGAACAAACTGAATTAAGTAAAGGGTAATGTCTGGGATGTAGCATAGTATAAAACATCATAGAAAATAGGAGAGAAAACACAAAGAACACTTTAATCTTTTAATCCAGGTAATTGGATCTTAAAGCTAAGTTTGTGACCCTCTGAGTGGAAGCAAGTGTGAGAGATTTATGAGAACATTCACAGGGGCACTGAAATTAAGCCTTTAAATATTATACTTCAGTTCAGTCGCTCAGTAGTGTCTGACTCTTTGCGACCCCATGGATTTGCAGCACACCAGGCTTCCCTGTCCATCACCAGCTCCTGGAGCTTGCTCAAACTCATGTCCATTGCTTCAGTGATGCCATCTAACCATATCATCCTCTGTCGTCCCCTTCTCCTCCTGCCCTCAATCTTTCCCAGCATCAGGGTCTTTTCTAATGACCCAGTTCTTCACTTCAGGTGGCTAAAGTATTGAAGTTTCAGCTTTAACATCAGTCCCTCCAATGAATATTCAGGACTGATTTCCTTTAGGATGGACTGGTTGGATCTCCTTGCAGTCCAAGGGACTCTCAAGAGTCTTCTCCAACACCACAGTTCTAAAGCATCAATTCTTTGCCACTCAGCTTTCTTTATAGTCCAACTCTCACATCCATACATGATTACTGGATAAACCATAGCTTTGACTAGACGGACCTTTGTTGGCAAAGTAATGTCCCTGCTTTTTAATATGCTGTCTAGGTTGGTCATAGCTTTTCTTCCAAGGAGAAAGCGTACTTTTAATTTCATGGCTGCAGTCACCATCTGCAGTGATTTTGGAGCCCCCCAAAATAAAGTCTCTCACTGTTTCCATTGTTTCCACATCTATTTGCCATGAAGTGATAGGACCAGATGCCATGATCTTAGTTTTTTGAACATTGAATTCTAAGCCGGTTTTTTCACTTTCCTCTTTCACTTTCATCAAGGGGCTCTTTAGTACTTCTTTGCTTTCTGCCATAAGGGTGGTGTCATCTGCATATCTGAGGTTATTGATATTTCTCCTGGCAATTTTGATTCCAGCTTGTGCTTCATCCAGCCCAGAGTTTCACATGATGTGCTCTGCATATAAGTTCAATAAGCAGGGTGACAATATACAGCCTTGACGTACTCCTTTCCCGATTTGGAACCAGTCTGTTGTTCCATGTCCAGTTCTAACTGTTGCTTCTTGACCTGCATACAGATTTCTCAGGAGGCAAGTCAGGTGGTATGGTATTCCCATCTCTTTAAGAATTTTCCACAGTTTTTTGTGATCCACGCAAAGGCTTTGGCATAGTCAATAAAGCAAAATTAGATGTTTTTGTGGAACTCACTTGTTTTTTTTGATGACCCAATCCGCCTGTGGCTCAGTTGGTAAAGAATCCGCCTGCAATGCAGGAGACCTGGGTTCAATTCCTGAGTTGGGAAGATCCCCTGGAGAAGGGAAAGGCTACTCAGTCCAGTATTTAATATTATACCACAAGTTGTGGCAAAAGCATGCATTTTGGTCAGGGAGCCCCCACCCCCTTCTATAATCACCATAACCCTTCTTATTTTCTATGTAAGTAAGTGATTCTTCTCCATTGCTTATTCCTCTTTCTAATCCCTTTGTTTTTCATCATCATCCTCTTTCTCAAATTTGTGATTTTCAATTATAACTTTCTGTTAAACATCTCCACTGTGATGAACCATCAACACTAAAGATTCCACATGTCAGAAAAGAAATTAATCATCATCTCCCACAATGTTGCCTTTCCTTTGGACTTCTGAAAGCTTCAACAATCAAAATCTTTAGCATGAAATCCCTGAGTCATCGCTGACTCTTCCTTCTTCTTGTTCTACCGCATCCATTGAGTGTGTGTGTGTGTGTGTGTGTGTGTGTGTTAACTGCTCAGTCACATCTGACTCTTTGCAAGCCCATGGACTATAGCCCACCAGGCTACCCTGTCCATGGGATTCTCCGGGCAAGAACACTGGAGTGGGTAGCCATGTCCTCTCCAGGGGCCTTCCTGACCCTGGGACTGAACCCCAGTCTCGTGCCCTGCAGGCAGACTCTTCACCGCCGGAGCACCAGGGAGGCCCTTCCACTCAGTAACAAGTTCTAGGTATCCTGCTCCGTGGTGTCCCTCAGACTCTTTCCTCCCTTCCCTTAGGACTACCAACAGTTAAGGTTGCTGACTTCATTTCCCAACTAGAGTTGTGATAGATTGTCAATCTACTGCTTGATCTCTATTCTTGCCTCAGTTTTAGAATATTATTAAACATTTTTTAATAAAAATAGTGCCTACATTTCTAGGCTAGAAAATTTTGAGGTCACAAAGACAGCTGGACTTGGTAACCAGGATTATGAATATTATTTGAGTAACGATGATTGAAAAAGGTAAAACCCCTTAGACTTCTTTTTAGAAATGTGTCAGACTAGGTACCTTGACAATTTTTCTACTGAAAATAAGTGGTTTTTTCACTTATTAAAAAAAAAAGTCTTAAAATTCATTAGTGACCTGGACAAAAAGTTAGGAAGATGAAGGACACACAAATCAAGAAAAAGAACAGGAAAAGGTTATCGGTGGAAAACCAGTGAAATGTGAATAAAGTCTGTAGGTTAGTTAATTGTATTATACCCATATTAATGTCTTAGTTTTTACAGATGTGCCATAGTTATAAAAAATGGGCCAAAGGAAACAAATCCTTTTACTGTCTTTGTTAACTTTTCTGTAAATACAAAATTACTCCAAACTTCATTAAAAAAAAATGAAAGGAAAGGAATAACTCCAACAATAAATTGAAAATTAATGCCAACTCTCACCTTGAAGGTACTTTCCAAATATGATGCACTTGAGCATTAAATTTCACAGCCATGAAAGGCACTGGGGTCAGGAGAGAAAGGAAGAGCTTGAGAGGAAACTTATCTGCATAAACTTGTATCTCAAAGAGCAACACATGCAGTATGTCATTTCTGTCATACTGTCTGTCAGAATATGAAATTCACACCCAGTATGTTCCAAATACAAAAACATCTCCTGCCAAGGAACAAAACCCAAATTTCTAGCTTGATTTTGGTGCTAGGTGGAGGGGAAAATACAAACCTCTCACAAGAATTTGTAAACTCAAGCCAATACTAATGCAGATTTTTATTCTGAACTCACACTACCTGAGTGTCCCAAAAAGCTTCAAATTGAGGAGATATCATAAAATGGTGCTAGGATAACCTTGCCTCCAGATGCCTGGTAGGAAAAACATCAACATTTTGGGGAGAAACCAACTTAAATCTGAAACTCACAGAATTCCTACAGATTAAAATTCAAGACCCATGAGATCATAATTTTAAAACCCACAAATTTACTTTTTAAAGAGCCAGTAAGAGGAAGAATGAGCAGACACAAATGATAGCATAATCAAAGTCACAAATTCTAAAGTATTTTCAGATATAGAATGTAAAATAAGGATATTTAGTATGCTAGAAGAAATGAAAGATTAACTTAAATGACTAATCAAATATGAAAAGAACCAATTGAATTTGTAGAAATAAAACATAATAATTGAGATGAAAAACACAATAGATGATCCTATAGCAGATTCAGTTCAGTCATGTTCAACTTGCTCAGTCATGTTCAGCTCTTTGCGACCCCATGAATCTCAGTACGCCAGGCCTCCCTGTCCATCATTAACTCCCAGAGTCCACCCAAACCCACATCCATTGTGTCAGTGATGCCATCCAACCATCCCATCCTCTGTTGTCCCCTTCTCCTCCTTCCCTCAATCTTTCCCAGCATCAGGGTCTTTCAAATGAGTCAGCTCTCCACATAAGGTGGCTAAAGTATTGGAGTTTCAGCTTCAACATTAGTCCCTCCAAAGAACAGCCAGGACTGATCTCTTTTAGGATGGACTGGTTGAATCTCCTTGCAGTCCAAGGGACTCTCAAGTCTTCTCCAACACCACAGTTCAAAAGCATCAATTCTTCAGCGCTAAGCTTTCTTTACAGTCCAACTCTCACATCCATACACGACTACTGGAAAAACCATAGCCTTGACTAGACGGGCCTTTGTTGACAAAGTAATGTCTCAGCTTTTTAATATGCTGTCTAGGTTGGTCAAAACTGTCCTTCCAAGGAGTAAGCGTCTTTTAATTTCATGGCTGCAGTCACCATCTGCAATGATTTTGGAGTCCCCCAAAATAAAGTCAGCCATTATTTCCACTGTTTCCCCATCTATTTGCCATGAAGTGATGGGACCAGATGCCATGATCTTAGTTTTCTGAATGTTGGAGCCAACTTTTTCACTCTCCTCTTTCACTTTCATTAAGAGGCTCTTCAGTTCTTCTTCACTTTCTGCCATAAGAGTGGTGTCATCTGCATATCTGAGGTTATTGATATTTCTCCTGGCAATCTTGATTCCAGCTTGTGCTTCATCAGCCCAGCGTTTCTCATGATGTACTCTGCATATAAGTTAAATAAGCAGGGTGACAATATATAGCCTTGATGTACTCCTTTTCCTATTTGGAACCAGTCTGTTGTTCTATGTTCAGTTCTAACTGTTGCTTCCTGACCTGTATACGGGTTTCTCAAGAGGC